ATCTCGAATAATCATCAATGAAACTAACAAAATAACGAAATCTTACGGGGGAACTGACTCTACTAGGACCCCAAATATCAGAATGAACTAATGAAAAAATAACTCAAAATGATCTTTCATTAAGAAAACCCAAGTGCATCTCGAATAATCATCAATTAAACTAACAAAATAACGAAATCTTAAGGGGGAACTGACTCTACTAGGACCCCAAATATCAGAATGAACTAATGAAAAAATAGAACCCTCAGTAATACGAGAAAATGTAGCACGAGTGTGTTTTCCAAGTTGACACGACTCACAATCTAATGTGGATAAACCAGACAAACTAGGCACCATCTTTTGCAGTTTGGATAGACTTGGGTGTCCCAAACGTTTGTGAATTAGATCTGGGGAATCTGTAACGGAGCATGCTGTTAAAGAATTAGAAGAGGTAAGATAGTAAAGGCCTTGTGATTCATATCCTGTTCCAATCGTTTATCCCGTACTGCGGTCCTGGATGAGAAAGAAATGATCAAAAAAAGTTATGCTACAATGTAGGGCTTTCGTCAAACGACTAACCGATGCTAGATTAAAAGGAGAACCAGGGACATAAAGAACAGAGTCAAGAGTGACAAAAGATATGGGTTTGGCTTTTCCAACCCCTTTTGGTTTTGCTTGTATCCCATTGGCTAATGTAATAGCTGGAAGAGATTGTGAATAAACTATCAAACAAAAGTGATTTATTACCAGTGATATGATCAGAAGCCCCCGAGTCTATGACCCATGATCCAAGAGTGTTAGACTGTGATATACAAGTAAAAGAATTACCCGCAATAGAAACATTAGGTTTTGCAACCGAAACTACTTGTGGAGACGTTTGTTTATTTGCACGATACCGAAGGAACTCTATATATTCCCTTAGAACAACATGATCATAACTGGGTGGTCGACCATGCAAAATAAAACATATGTCATGAGTGTGTCCAGGTTTATGACAATGACTACACTTAGATTGAAATTTTCCAAAACATTCTCTCCCCCGTCTATTCTCCATGGATTGGTATGTACGCTGGGAACTGCCGGAAGCTGCTACATAAGTCTGAAAATATTGGAAGCTGTCCACAGTGGCCTGAAAAATTCTGATTTTGTCGGAATTTTGCTGGGAACTGCCAAAAAATCACCGGAACCCTAATTCCGGTGATCGGATCTGGAGATAACTGTATGGGTTCTTACCGAAAACACTGGACGACCCTAACAAAAGAGAGGAACTCGAAAAAAAAAGAAGAGATCGGAGCAGCACTCATGCGCCGGAAACTGCCCGAAAATCACCGAAACCCTAATTCCTGTGATCGAATCTAAATAGAAGTGGTCAAAAACAGTATTGGCTGGGTCGGAATGGCTGGACGACCTCAACTGTCGAAAAAATTCTCAAAGACTATGGCCGGATAAGTCCTCACGCGCCGGTGCGTGAGCCTGATCTCGCCGGAATCTTCCACCTTCGATCGGCGCGTGAGGGCGCGTGTGATGCTGTTTTCCGGTGGTTCTGGCTGGGGTTTGGTTGCGGGAGATTTCTGAGTCTCGTGGTGGTGTTGGTTTTCGCACAGCACCCACAGAATAAAAAATGATAAAATCCATCCCAAACGTCACCGGAAATTGAATTGTTTGTTTCTCACCAATGCTCTGATACCATGTGAGAAATAATGGAGAAAATATTATTGAATTGCGCATCTAAATTGTTACATGAAGACCCTATTTATAGACACTACATTGGAATCCTTTTTCAATTCCTATTCTAAGTAAGAAATACGTATTCCTATTCTAACAGTTCCCACAGTTAAAACATGGAGAGTGTTGAATTCATTTTAATTTATTTCTGTTGATTTTTTTAAGTGGAGTAGACCAGAAAAATTATTGTGAAAGCATGACGATCACTCACTTCTTGCTATGAAATTTGATGGTTTGTCCATCCCCCACACTTGTGATCACAACTCATTCATTTGTTCTTTTGTTTTTGCAGAAAGGCCAGTCATGTATACAGAAAGATCACCGTGGGGGCAATCTATGCTTCCGCACCAGGTAAGAGGCAGTTTTGCTGTGTCCCAGCTCCTGACCCTAACCTTCTGTTTCTCTCTCCGTGACCACTGAATATTCAGTTTTCACTGTCAGTTGATGTTACAAGCTGGAGGTGTATCTTCCCCTGAGGTTGCAGGACTTTTCAAGTGAGCTTTGACTTGCAATACAGGGTACAGGTGTCAGTTCGATGCCTAATTATTAGCTTCAAGTGCCAAAACTTCTCCAAACTTAGGCTCTTCCGATGCGTTTGCATTGTATGGTAAGACGCTTGTTTTGAGTTATTATCACCCTGATAAACTGCTTGTTTAAAAAGACAGCATCTGCTTGCACCTTGAACATTGACAAGTCGACACTCTTCCTTGTGTTGTATGTGTGCCTGTTGCATTCTATTTGCAATGTACTTATATGCTGTATGTTTAATGAGATTCTACCATTTTATAAACCCGAGTTTGAAATATTTTGTTGTCATTCGGGAAATGTGAAATTTCATTTCATGTGGCAAGTGTACATTTGTTATATTAAATACACAATGGAAGAGGAAGAGAAAGAGGAAGAGGAAGAGGAAGAGGAAGAGCAAGGATTGACTACATATAAATGGACCTTTTTACTGGTACATGAAAGAAGAAAAGGGAGAAGGTAAGAGACAATATACACACTTATTCTTTCCAGACAGGAATAATTCCTTGGGCAGCTAAGCGCTTCTCAACCCAGAAAACAACATGCTTTGCTGTTATTTTTTTCTCATCAACGAGAAAAGGTTCCACAGTGCTCGCGCCAGAACCATAGGAGGACAAAGAGAAACCTTTAGGACCTGCCATCAAACAATAACTCTTGTAAGTTTCCTGTTCCTTCAAGCAATCTGAACTCTCAAGAGAAAATGGTCGAGACATACCTGTGAGTCCATCTGGAAAGAATGCCCAAAATGAATATGGATTGCCCTTCTTTAGAAATGAGCCCTCCAGCTGCAAGAACAAAGTCAATGCACTATGAAAGTTGTGGTACAATCAAAAGACAAGTTAATAGGATACTCACTTTGTTTTCACTAAACGATAGCTCAAGCTCAAGGATGTCATTTTGAGATTCAAGAGTTGCTTTGAGTGAAGGTATAATATTCTCCTCCATCATCTGATGTAGAGGCTTGTCTGGAGCCTTTGCCTTTGTTTTTTCTTCAGCAGTCTGAGACTCTTTTTTCTCCTCAGCAACTAGTTGTATTGTCAATTATCAATTGTATGTATAAGAGGACGTCATGAATATGACCAATTTCATTATAAAAAAAAAAAGAAGTGAAAAATTACCAGTTAGAGATGAAGATTCTTGGGCTGCAAAGCAGACAAGATTTTTGCATGTTTTGAGGTGTCTTAGTTCAAGTGAATCAGCAGGCAATATGGGTTTAGGTTTACGGCAAAAAGATGATGAAGGGAAGCTAGAAAGTGAAATAGAACCTCCTGTTGTTGCCATGTATGGGATATTGTTATTGCATATCTTTTTTTTATATTCTTTTTAGCAGAGGTTGGTTAGAGAGTGAAGCAGTGGCAACATCAGAAACACAAGCTGCTTTCTCATCCACACACTGTTAGGAGAAGGGATGCCACTGAATATTGCTCCCTCATCTACTTGAAGCACCTTATATATATTTAGCCCATTAAACTTTTCAAGCGGCCCCTTGTAAAATTTCTCTTTTGACCCTGCTCTTATTTCATACAAGTTTTATAAATTCAATATCCGGCTAGTAATTTGATATCCGATTTGTAACAACTTACTCCATATTAGCATTACATTTGAAGTCAAACAACGGCAAAACTAATACGCAGAGGATAAAGTATCGCATAAACTTCAAGGTTAGTCAGTTAGAATCTTAAGTAGCTATAGAAATCACCTCCTACAATATATAGAAAAACATAGAAATCATCATACATTGACACAATACTTTCGAATTACTAATTCAACGACCAAATAAAGCTTACTAGCTCACTCAGAAATGGAGAACCTACAAAAATACTCTCAATTTATTAGAAATGCTACAAAAATATTACCCTTTCATCTACTTGATCAAACTTGTCCTTTCTTTTACCTATTCAATCCAAAATACTTCAAATTTATCCTCATTCTACTTGTTACATCTGTAGACAATAAAATTCACGTCGAGAAAATAATAATCAAGAACGGAAAACTATAATAACAATTGATTTATAATTTCAAGTGCGAGTGTTACAATCTCTATGATTCCTTTGAATTTGCCTTTTCAAATATACATTTAAGGGCTTTAAATCTTGTTCTTAAATCTCTAATGAACTTAAACTTTGTCTTGATCTTGACTTTTACTTGAATTCAAGAGCTTCTAGCTTATTTTTGAATTCGATGATTTTGATCTTGATCGTTAATGCTTGAATTCTTAAACTTTTAGCTTTATAGAGAATCAAATGATGTTTATACTACGAATTTTCTCTAGTTTTTTGTTTAGAATTTTCTGTCTCTTTTCTGAATCATGAGAACCCCTATTTATAGTTTTAGAATAGGGGAGTTGCGATTGGAACAAGATTCCTTTCGGCCAATCAGATTTAAGTGACATGACATATGAACTTTATGGAGCGGGCTTGTCATTTTGGAAACATGTCATGATTCCGTTGGTTTCTTATTTGACTTGGCATGCCACATCATTTGCACACGTGGCGCCAAGATGGGCCTCTAGAATGAGATGAAATTGAGCTTAACAAATTGAACTCATCCATTGTAGCCTAAATCAATTAATTTAGACTTTAATTAAGTCCATATTTATTAGACTAAAATATTTATATTAATCCATAATTTTTATTTGGATTAATATACTTATAAATTTAATATAATCCGAATCATTTTATAAATTTATATTTAATAAATTTTAAATGATTGCTAATATCCCCTGCTTCAAGTCCTGTCGAGATATTTTTATCTTTTAGGACTAGGCTTGAAGCATTAACCGGTTACTAAATTCATCTTGAGTCAAATGAAATAAACTAATCTATGTAATTTATTTATTTAACACTTCACCGATCACTTGGAAGATTCCAATTAATATTAGAAAAAAAAAATATATATATATACTAGCATAACTTCCAACATAGGCATATACTTCAGATGGTCTTTTGAACGAAGGGAGCTAATTTAAGAGCCCACATTTTAATTTTCCTTATTTTTTTAGTAAAAATTAGGCAAATCACATAGTCTAAGGGACAAGTTACTTTCAATCCTTACTCTTTCACTATTTACCAAAATTCTTTTTTTAAATAATAATTCGGATACTTAATATTGCAGAATGATACTTAAATTAGAGCAGACAAATACTTTAATATTTAATTTGTTGTTATCAGTTATAGCGTAAAAAAAGGGATTACATTTATCCCACGATTCACGCGGACGTTTAACAAATTTAGCATCCAATCTGCACAAAACTCTAACTGATTTGGGCATTCGTGTATTTTAAATTGTGAAATCTTCACACTGTTCTTTGAAAAAAACAACCAAATTTTGTTTAATATAAGTCTGGAATGCAATTTGTGAAGATTCAAAAATGAATATTTCAATCTTTTTAAGACATTCTGGATCATGGAAAAGTGATGTTATATACGAGCGATACAAAAGTGATGGGATAGTGGTTAGGGAAAATATTTCGTTCATGAATTTTATTTCAACAATTGCGGCTGGGTTGGGTATTGATGAATCGAAAAAAGATATTGAAATTAGATATGTTGTTGAGGGTAATTCGTCTCCATTGTGTATTCAGACTGATATGGGGTTGAAATTGTACATAAAAAATTAAGAAACATGAGGTGGAATTTAGAATGTATCCTCTATGCATCGATACATCAGATAAATATGTTAAAGAGATATTAAATTTTGATGCAACAACAGGTGCAATTGTGTGTGTAAAGGTGGAAAAAACGACGCAAAGGCTCTAAGCATTGTTGAATAAAAAAATGGTGATACATATTACATACCAGAAATGGAGGTGAAAAATTATATATTAGATATCAATATTTCTGTTGTGTAAGAGAAACAATTGTACAAAGATAAAGCAGCTTTAAAGGTTGTAATGGAAAATTACAAATAAAGAATAACTTCAATTTTAAAGTTAAAAGATCTGACAACAAAATGTATGTTATACAATTATATGATAATGTCCTAATAATATATATTTTGTTTATAATATGTTTACCATGATACACTAATAATATCTGTTACGTGTACTCGTAATATAATGTATCTTGTTCATTTTGATGTTTTTCTGGGTATTAATGTATAAAGTAATAATGGTAGATGAAAAATGTTTAAGAGTAGATTTGTGATTACTTTACAGAATAAAGTATCATAATGTGATAAATGTATTTATGAAAGTATCAATTCGATCTTGTAATTGAAATAAGGTATCATAATGTACTTTTATTTTTATTTATGTATTAGTAACCTGACCAAATAACTAATATATGCTATGTAATTGGAGCTACATATTAGTTTGTTATTCACATGATTGCTGTTGGAAATTGAAGGTCTCTGTTAGGAAAAAATCTGAGACATTCAAAGCGTGATACTTTAATAGTAAACATACATGTCCATTGAGGGATATGGTATTAAGTAAGGTACAAGCTACTGTTGGGTTTGTTAGTGGTGTCACAACTCAAAAATTAGGGAATCATAAAAGGAACATACTCTAAACAATATAATTGAGGATATTAGGGAAATGTACGACATTGAGATTTCTTACCAACTAGCATGGCGGGCTAAAGAGAGTGCATTGGAAATGATAAGGGGTAAACCTGCTGATGGATATACAAAAATGCCAAGATACATATATATGTTTGAAACTGTGTATCCAAATTCATATGTAAGTATGCACAAGTCCGAATATAATGAGTTTATGTATCTTTTCATATCATTAAGGCCGATGATGAGAGGATTTGAGTTTTGTAGTCCAGTTGTTGTTGTTGATGTTTCACATCTTAGTGGAGGTTATCGAGGGACATTTGTATCTGCTAGTACACTCGATGGAGCAGGTATGACGTGTTGTTTATGAATTTATTTATTTATTTATTTATTAACTTAATAGTAAGACGTTTATTCTATATTGTTTTGTGTTTCTATGTTAAGGTTGCATATTGCCTTTGGCGTACGAAATTGTTGAGACGAAAAATGATTGTTCATGGACATAGTTCTTTCAACAGTTTAAAAATGCATTTGGTGAGAGGATAAAATGTGTGTAAGTATTGTTTATCCAAATGTTCCTCATTTTGCATGCATATGATACCTCTGTAAAAATGTTTGTTCAAACTTTAGGAGAAGCAGGACCATTCTAAGTGATCTGTTTTACTCAATGACAAAGGCTTATAGAAAAGAAGATTTTGAAAATTAATGGCTAAATTGGATAAAATAGATGGAAGAGTAAAAAAGTTTCTTCAAGATCCTGGGTATGAAAGTTGGTCTAGGTCTCATGCAACAGTGAAGCGGGGAAGAATGATGACGTCAAATATAGCTGAACGTATCAATGTTTCCTTGTTGATGCACGATAACTACCTATTTTGGACTTTTGGAAGAGGCTAAAATTCTATTTGGTTCTTGGAATTGCAAAAATAGAGAAATAACTTCTTATACAAAGGAAACATTGGGGAGAAAATTTGAAGGAATATTGGTTTCAAACGCATCAAAAATGCAAAAATAAAGATACATGTCTGTATTATCTTTTATTATATGATTGTTTAACCAAAATGAAAAAAAACATGCTAAATATCTCTAATTTGTAAACAATTGCAGGTTGTTGCATCTTCTGAGTTTATTTTTTCAGTGTATGATGGTGGAATAGATTCATTGTTTGTCTTGAGAGGAAAACTTGTTCATGTGGTAGATTTTAATATGATGAGATACCTTGTCCGCATGCAATAGCCGTTCTGAAGAAGAAAAATATAACAGATGTACACCCCTACAACTCTATTTTAAACACGATGCATTAACAAATACTTATACAACTCCAAGGGAATAAATGCCAGACAAAAGTGATTGGACAGCTCCGGACTGTGTTTTGAAGAAGTTGTCTTGCTACCTAGATACAAAAAGATGCCTGGTAGACCAAAAAAAAAGAGAAAGAAAAATCCAGATGAAAAGCTAACAACAAAAACTAATTGTTGTGGACGTTGTGGACAAGACAGTCATAATATAAGAACATATACCTTTTTTTCAAAAGATTCTTGATGATTTTTCTTTTTTGTTGTTTTATGCTTCATGTGTAATAATGTTTCTGGATATCTTGAATTTGCTAATAAGATTTGAACTTTTTCATTTGATGTGATTTTAACTTCATATGAATGTTACAAGATACAGATTGTGTAGTTATACTAAATATATCGACTTTGATTGTTTTATATCAAGTGTAATGATATTGATAACTTATTTAGTCTTATTTACATTAAACGGTAAAAATATTATGGATCTGATAACAAATTTTTGTTATCAGAAACAACCTGGTAAATGATACTAAATATATATAGATTGTTATATAATTCAAACGATACTAAATATACTAATTAAATTTTTTGTATCAACTGTTAAAGATACACAAATTTATTTTTGATAGTAAAATTTTTATCATATGCTTAATAATTCTATGGATATTGTGTATATGATGATAATATAGTATCAGACGTTGTGATTTACTGCAAGACTACGACATGTTAAGAAAATTATTTTGTATCAGTTTATGTAACAATTGTATAAATATAGTGTCACGTATACTGTTATACAAAGTTTATGGTGTATCAACAGTAATTGTGTAGATCTTACTTTTAAAAAATAATTTATTGCGAGTTGCTGTAAATTAAATTATATATTTGGAGACAAAAATTAGAATTGACACATTTCTTGACAAAACACATTCTTCAAATTAATAAATACTTAGTAAGATTATGCTGGAAGGAGAGTGATAATAGAAAATACTAATTAACATAACTTCAACACAATAAAAACCTAACTAGTCTACATTATCCAGTCCACCTTCTACCTGTGTAGTGCAGCCACTGTTTGGCCTTGTAAGATCGTGGATATCACTAACATATCCAGCCTTGACTTTGTCCATACCATACTTCCATAACGGTGTTTGTCTGTTGCAAAGATAATCACTCCAAAAAACTAACAGATGAAATGTTGATTTTGTCGCTCAAGTATTCTGCAAAAGCAACTACATACATTCCATAATCACTGCAAAAAAATGAAGATACACTAAAAAAAGAATTGAATATGTAAGTAAATAAATTGATTAATAATAACAGGCTATCGCTTTGTTGTTGCATAATGTCTTGAGCATATTCCACCGCAAAGGACTATCGTGGACCCAACAGTCATCAGTTTCCGTATCTTTGTGCTTCTCCAATGACGAACAATTATTTCTCTCCATTTTATCAACGAAACCACTATCGTGTATATAGTTTGGAAGCATTACAGATAACTACTTTATTTCTTCGGAATGCACTCTTTTCCTTGATCCCATATATGAGTCATACACTGGTATTAACCTTTTCTTTAAAACAGCCACAACCAACACCCAATGAAAATCTTTGTCACAATTAACAAGAATATAAACCTGATCGACTAAATGCCAAGGTAAAGCAGCATGGATAAAAAATCCATTTATGATGTCTTTTATAGATTTTTCATAACCAGATATAGTAACACCACGACCAATATGTTGTTGTATAGTAAGAGTTTTATCTGCGGGAGCACAATAATACCTCTTGTATACAATGTTGATATATGACTTAACCAAGCAATTGACTGTTAGTATATCCATATTGATCCAAGCCTCTTGATTTTGACTTTTTGTGTAGATAGTAAAAAATTACATCTATGTGCTGTTAAATACGAAAAAAAAATATAAAATGCACACTTTGAAAGAAAGCGATAGATTGAAGAAAAGTAAAAATAAATTTGTAAGTTCATGTCTATATTATAAGACAAATTTTAAATATGTATCATATACGTAATTGGAATGCATAATGTAGCTGATCATTCCAACATTTCATTGAGTGTGACATGGTATAAAATCAATTCTTTAAAAAATCCATATATTAAAAACCAAAATTAGCAGATTTGCCTCTATATTTATCCTCATTGGGTTTCCTATAAGAATTATTAAAGTCAAAATGAAAGTAATTTAATAAAAATATTATTTTATAAAGATACTTTAATAATAAAAATCTACTTATTCGTATGTGTTTTGAGGAGTCCCTTTTGAATCCACTCTAAGAACTCTTGCTTTAAACCTGACGATAGTTGAGATGTGATGCGATAATAATCAAATGGAGTGTATGGGCGGACATGGTCGCCTCTTTTTCCCTTTCCTTTATCAGTTTATCCATAAGAATTCACATAGGGTGATTGCAAAACCTTTGAAGGCATCATGTTATGATGAGCCGGAGTTTTAGTATTGATATTTGGTGCTGGATCATTGACAGCAAGTTGGGTGGGTAGTTGACTGTCCGATAAAAAATTGTCACTCAATGGATTCACATTAATTAACTGGTTTTGGAAGTCCATATGTAAGTGCATCTATCACTGCTTCGATTTCAAATGAGACGGAGACCGATGAGGTAGCAAAAATATTAAAATTTATATAAATAATGTATGCAACATCAAAAACTTAAATTATTTGGGATTAAGTGGATGCAACTGTTGTCAAAATGCAGTAAATAATTTATAAACCTATTGATGTATCAACAAATACTGAATTTGAAGAATGTTTTTTGACTTTTTGTTGAATTTTATCGACACCATGATCCTAATAAAGAGAATATCATATACTATACTATTTGTTTACTAAAATAATTAATGCATAATAATTTAAAAACTTAATACTTACCACCTTAATATCATGAATATTCACATTTACCGAAGGATTGCTTGCTATGCTGTGGATAGAAGCACAACGGACTGTTCCATTGCCTGTTTCTTACTGGATGTGTCGTCCTTCATTGTTTGTGGTAAAATTAAAGTATCTGTTAGTATATTAATGTATATTGTGCAATTAGTTATACTTCAATAACAAAATCTATTTCATAAATTAAAGTATTTTAAAAAGTCAAGAATAAAAGTACCATGTATAGTCTTAATGTAGAAAGTGAAATCAGTGATGCATAAATAGCGGAAGTGAATTCATTGTCACGAATGGAATCAGACTGAATTCATTGTCACGACTGGAATCAGACTCCAGACGAGACCGGTGTCGTTGACCTATCAGAGGTCGCAGACAAGGCTACTTACATCATTCTTACTTCATCTAGGTTAATTTTAGCGAAAAATTTGAAACTTTTTGTTTGGTAACATGCTTACTAAAAATTCTATTACATATATAATTGTTTACCATAAACCATCTAACATTAAGATCATCAAATGAAAGAAGCAGTTTATGATAACGAAAAATATGTACTTGCCAAAATGGCATCAATACAACGTCTGAACAAAAACGGGAAAGAAACGCTAGTGGAACATATTCCACTAGCTCAATCCTATTACTAAGCTAGAATGTAAATGGGAAAGCAACCTCGAAAGCATGAGGGCCTACCAAGTACGGATGAATGCTCGACGCCCGGATAGCTACAACGTTGACCCTGTAGATCTAGCGTCCACCCGTGCCTGCACCTAAAAGTTTAGAGTTGTATAGGGTTAGTACACATTTGTACTAAGTATGGGTATATGCAAACACACACCAAGGACATGCATGATTAATAATAGCTCTTTCCTAACAACATGATTGTAGAAGGTCAAGTCAGTGGACTTACCAAATTGAGATTAGAAAAGTGAGTGAACACCAGCTATACCAAGGATGTGGTTTAAGGCTTTCATTGGGTTCGTTGTGCAATGACCAAGAATGACCTAATGTCATTACTTGAGTCTTACTCACCTCTTGATTATTCTATCCTAACACCTTTGGTATCATTCGTTTCATTATGTGCATCATATGAGGCTGGCCTTATTCATTCATTGGAAACTTTAACTTTAATCGACATAGATCATGTGAGCATCATAAAATCCAATGTCATGAAACCCCACACTGAAAAGAGGTGGAATCACGGGGCAAAGTGACCCAAAACATGCCAGCGTACATGGGAAATAAACCCCGCCCAGTCCCTATATTGGCAATATAGGTTCGAAGACTAGGAGATATAAGGAAACCCATACCCAGCATATGCCGGATAGTCTCATCTCATGAGAGTTACGTGAACCTCCGCCCTTCTCGAAAGAAGACATCACCGCTTATAGATAGTCTATCGGTGCTCAGTATAAAGTTCCATTACATCTAACTCATACGTCATGGAAGTTGGCTTCTAGTATGAGGACATCATAGCTCAATAGATGATTTCTCATCTCATCATTAGTATTATGTGTGTTAATCTAAATACTTTCATTAGAGTGTTGATAGAGACTGGTGTCTTCATTAGCTTTACACTCTTATCGGTGAGTACGTTTTGGTAACATTTACTTAAGCTCATTTGAGATTGCTCTCATATTTTACATTAGCCTCATATCATGTTGTCACCACATTCATTAACATTAGCACATTTGTTCTTCATAATTACTCATTCCTTTTTACGTGAATGTTCAATCATCATATGCCAATGCACTTGGCCATTTGTGTGTTTCACATTCTTACTTAACCCTTCTAGGGTTTCATCATTTCATTACATAATATTCATTTCATCATATGCCAATGCAGTTGGCCATTTAGTGTGTTTTAAATTCTTACTTAACCCTTCTAGGGTTACATCATTTCATTACTTACATCTTAGGTTCACTTGTTTTTTTAAATGTATGTTCGACTTATGGATATATACATAAAAAACATAAGGCTTCATTCATAATTCGGTTAAGTGATTCATATCTTCCTAAGATTGTGTGGTACAAGACTGATGCATATACATGCCAAGATCTCAATTTCAATCTAAGTAGGCAACATTATTCTTGAACATTTAATTCACGTATGACTTATTCATCAATACAAAATTTGGGCAAGGGAAACTGGTTTTCAAATCCCTTGAACAACACTTACATTTTTTATTCATTTTTGTTTGATCCATTCGGCTTGGGGACCAAGTACGAGCCCCAATGCCTTTATTTTATTTTCCCCTTAATTTCTCTCTTCATTTTTCGCTTAATAGAACTAAGAGGATGTGAGATAAAACCCCCACAACCTCATTTACTTTTTATTTTCGTTGCCTTTAAATTTCTCTCATTTGGCCGAGGGATTCTGGGTTCGAACCCCC